TAGCCAAAAATCAAACTTTTTGGTTTAATTCAGAATCTAAATTGTCCCCAATTGTCCTCCTGGGGAGGCTCCTTTAAATTTACGAGACGGACATTTTGTTGAAAACCGGAAGGTTCTATCTATTTTACTTTTGGAGATATACCCCAGCCGGTAGGGTTTCCTGGGCCGAACCTACGCGCGTATAAAAGAATTTGCGCTCTCATTTTAAAACGTTCACTTTGACAAACCATAACTCTCCACCAATCAAGTCAAATTTCAATTTTAAAATATCAAAAGAAAGTAGAGAATTTCGCCAACAAGAAAGGGGACTCCTGGATAGGTAGGTAAAAACGCGATCTTCGTCCTCAAAATCGACTTTTAAAACTTCATACATTTTCCGCCGAAATTATAAGTCTTATATCGCAAAACATCCCCCTACCTCCCTGCAACTCCCCCCCCCCCCCCCCTTTCCACTTCCCCCCCCCCCCTTCCTTCTGCTTTCTTTTGCAGCTGAACTATGAACTCTTAGCTCTCTCGCCTACCCAGAAAACCTTACCGCCTGCTGGGCTTGCTAGAGGTTATAGATTTTCAACAGCACGTTGGGCGTCGCGCGTCACATCGAGTTTACCTTTCACACGCTGCATTTAGTTTAGTAGTCATGACAACGACATGACTTTGCAAAGTTTAAAAGCTGCAATCTTTAATTTAGCCAAAAATCAAACTTTTTGGTTTAATTCAGAATCTAAATTGTCCCCAATTGTCCTCCTGGGGAGGCTCCTTTAAATTTACGAGACGGACATTTTGTTGAAAACCGGAAGGTTCTATCTATTTTACTTTTGGAGATATACCCCAGCCGGTAGGGTTTCCTGGGCCGAACCTACGCGCGTATAAAAGAATTTGCGCTCTCATTTTAAAACGTTCACTTTGACAAACCATAACTCTCCACCAATCAAGTCAAATTTCAATTTTAAAATATCAAAAGAAAGTAGAGAATTTCGCCAACAAGAAAGGGGACTCCTGGATAGGTAGGTAAAAACGCGATCTTCGTCCTCAAAATCGACTTTTAAAACTTCATACATTTTCCGCCGAAATTATAAGTCTTATATCGCAAAACATCCCCCTACCTCCCTGCAACTCCCCCCCCCCCCCCCCCTTTCCACTTCCCCCCCCCCCCCCTTCCTTCTGCTTTCTTTTGCAGCTGAACTATGAACTCTTAGCTCTCTCGCCTACCCAGAAAACCTTACCGCCTGCTGGGCTTGCTAGAGGTTATAGATTTTCAACAGCACGTTGGGCGTCGCGCGTCACATCGAGTTTACCTTTCACACGCTGCATTTAGTTTAGTAGTCATGACAACGACATGACTTTGCAAAGTTTAAAAGCTGCAATCTTTAATTTAGCCAAAAATCAAACTTTTTGGTTTAATTCAGAATCTAAATTGTCCCCAATTGTCCTCCTGGGGAGGCTCCTTTAAATTTACGAGACGGACATTTTGTTGAAAACCGGAAGGTTCTATCTATTTTACTTTTGGAGATATACCCCAGCCGGTAGGGTTTCCTGGGCCGAACCTACGCGCGTATAAAAGAATTTGCGCTCTCATTTTAAAACGTTCACTTTGACAAACCATAACTCTCCACCAATCAAGTCAAATTTCAATTTTAAAATATCAAAAGAAAGTAGAGAATTTCGCCAACAAGAAAGGGGACTCCTGGATAGGTAGGTAAAAACGCGATCTTCGTCCTCAAAATCGACTTTTAAAACTTCATACATTTTCCGCCGAAATTATAAGTCTTATATCGCAAAACATCCCCCTACCTCCCTGCAACTCCCCCCCCCCCCCCCCCCCTTTCCACTTCCCCCCCCCCCCCTTCCTTCTGCTTTCTTTTGCAGCTGAACTATGAACTCTTAGCTCTCTCGCCTACCCAGAAAACCTTACCGCCTGCTGGGCTTGCTAGAGGTTATAGATTTTCAACAGCACGTTGGGCGTCGCGCGTCACATCGAGTTTACCTTTCACACGCTGCATTTAGTTTAGTAGTCATGACAACGACATGACTTTGCAAAGTTTAAAAGCTGCAATCTTTAATTTAGCCAAAAATCAAACTTTTTGGTTTAATTCAGAATCTAAATTGTCCCCAATTGTCCTCCTGGGGAGGCTCCTTTAAATTTACGAGACGGACATTTTGTTGAAAACCGGAAGGTTCTATCTATTTTACTTTTGGAGATATACCCCAGCCGGTAGGGTTTCCTGGGCCGAACCTACGCGCGTATAAAAGAATTTGCGCTCTCATTTTAAAACGTTCACTTTGACAAACCATAACTCTCCACCAATCAAGTCAAATTTCAATTTTAAAATATCAAAAGAAAGTAGAGAATTTCGCCAACAAGAAAGGGGACTCCTGGATAGGTAGGTAAAAACGTGATCTTCGTCCTCAAAATCGACTTTTAAAACTTCATACATTTTCCGCCGAAATTATAAGTCTTATATCGCAAAACATCCCCCTACCTCCCTGCAACTCCCCCCCCCCCCCCCCTTTCCACTTCCCCCCCCCCCCCCTTCCTTCTGCTTTCTTTTGCAGCTGAACTATGAACTCTTAGCTCTCTCGCCTACCCAGAAAACCTTACCGCCTGCTGGGCTTGCTAGAGGTTATAGATTTTCAACAGCACGTTGGGCGTCGCGCGTCACATCGAGTTTACCTTTCACACGCTGCATTTAGTTTAGTAGTCATGACAACGACATGACTTTGCAAAGTTTAAAAGCTGCAATCTTTAATTTAGCCAAAAATCAAACTTTTTGGTTTAATTCAGAATCTAAATTGTCCCCAATTGTCCTCCTGGGGAGGCTCCTTTAAATTTACGAGACGGACATTTTGTTGAAAACCGGAAGGTTCTATCTATTTTACTTTTGGAGATATACCCCAGCCGGTAGGGTTTCCTGGGCCGAACCTACGCGCGTATAAAAGAATTTGCGCTCTCATTTTAAAACGTTCACTTTGACAAACCATAACTCTCCACCAATCAAGTCAAATTTCAATTTTAAAATATCAAAAGAAAGTAGAGAATTTCGCCAACAAGAAAGGGGACTCCTGGATAGGTAGGTAAAAACGCGATCTTCGTCCTCAAAATCGACTTTTAAAACTTCATACATTTTCCGCCGAAATTATAAGTCTTATATCGCAAAACATCCCCCTACCTCCCTGCAACTCCCCCCCCCCCCCCCCCCTTTCCACTTCCCCCCCCCCCCCCTTCCTTCTGCTTTCTTTTGCAGCTGAACTATGAACTCTTAGCTCTCTCGCCTACCCAGAAAACCTTACCGCCTGCTGGGCTTGCTAGAGGTTATAGATTTTCAACAGCACGTTGGGCGTCGCGCGTCACATCGAGTTTACCTTTCACACGCTGCATTTAGTTTAGTAGTCATGACAACGACATGACTTTGCAAAGTTTAAAAGCTGCAATCTTTAATTTAGCCAAAAATCAAACTTTTTGGTTTAATTCAGAATCTAAATTGTCCCCAATTGTCCTCCTGGGGAGGCTCCTTTAAATTTACGAGACGGACATTTTGTTGAAAACCGGAAGGTTCTATCTATTTTACTTTTGGAGATATACCCCAGCCGGTAGGGTTTCCTGGGCCGAACCTACGCGCGTATAAAAGAATTTGCGCTCTCATTTTAAAACGTTCACTTTGACAAACCATAACTCTCCACCAATCAAGTCAAATTTCAATTTTAAAATATCAAAAGAAAGTAGAGAATTTCGCCAACAAGAAAGGGGACTCCTGGATAGGTAGGTAAAAACGCGATCTTCGTCCTCAAAATCGACTTTTAAAACTTCATACATTTTCCGCCGAAATTATAAGTCTTATATCGCAAAACATCCCCCTACCTCCCTGCAACTCCCCCCCCCCCCCCCCCTTTCCACTTCCCCCCCCCCCCCCTTCCTTCTGCTTTCTTTTGCAGCTGAACTATGAACTCTTAGCTCTCTCGCCTACCCAGAAAACCTTACCGCCTGCTGGGCTTGCTAGAGGTTATAGATTTTCAACAGCACGTTGGGCGTCGCGCGTCACATCGAGTTTACCTTTCACACGCTGCATTTAGTTTAGTAGTCATGACAACGACATGACTTTGCAAAGTTTAAAAGCTGCAATCTTTAATTTAGCCAAAAATCAAACTTTTTGGTTTAATTCAGAATCTAAATTGTCCCCAATTGTCCTCCTGGGGAGGCTCCTTTAAATTTACGAGACGGACATTTTGTTGAAAACCGGAAGGTTCTATCTATTTTACTTTTGGAGATATACCCCAGCCGGTAGGGTTTCCTGGGCCGAACCTACGCGCGTATAAAAGAATTTGCGCTCTCATTTTAAAACGTTCACTTTGACAAACCATAACTCTCCACCAATCAAGTCAAATTTCAATTTTAAAATATCAAAAGAAAGTAGAGAATTTCGCCAACAAGAAAGGGGACTCCTGGATAGGTAGGTAAAAACGCGATCTTCGTCCTCAAAATCGACTTTTAAAACTTCATACATTTTCCGCCGAAATTATAAGTCTTATATCGCAAAACATCCCCCTACCTCCCTGCAACTCCCCCCTGTTATTAACCACGGTACCAATTTAATCAGGTGTTAGTTGCAAGTACCGGGTAATAATCACCTCTCCCATGTCCATGGTATGTAGTACTTTATTTCCTCCAAGAAATTATTTATTTAGAGCTCCTTTTGACTTGGCTAGAACTATACATGGGAGGCCCCGGTTATATCAAGAGAGTCCGTTTCGGAAGGTTCTGAACCCACGATTGAGCGTCTTAAAACTTTTGTTTTATGGAAATTATAGTTTTGCTAGAATTCAGAGTTTCATGTTACTTCTTATTTAATTTAGTGCGGTTAATGATTATAATTCAGACTTTCAATTTTGGTGGGTTGACACAAATTGAAACGACAATATAGAACAAAATATAGAACAACTAATGGTAGTATAATTAATGAGCGAAAACCTTCTTAAATTGAAAGATGTTTCTATAACAATGGAAGTAACCTTTTGATACTATACTAATTAATTGACACGGTAGAAATTCTTCTCATAACCTATTTAAAGGAACTCTAAGTCTATGTTGGTGCAATCACCTTTTGATAAGTCTCTCTCTGAGAAATAGTGTAGGAGGGCTGGAATATCACGCGTCTTTGACTGAGTCTCACCGTCAACAGTTTGACTGTCACGAATGGTCTGAAAGCAATATCTTTTAACTATGGCAATAGAAACAATTTATTACGTAACCAACGGGAAACTACTTTAATCCTGCACTCGTAAACATTAATATAAAAGAAATATCAATTCTTACAGCTCTATCAACCAATACTTAATGAACTTAATTATTAAGACAACTACTATTTTATGCTGACGTTATAACTGAACTAATTACCTCGGTTGACGAAGGAGAATCAATTATTCTAGCAGGTATCGGCAAAGGCAGCACGGTTTGAGCAGGAATGTTCGTGTCTCTCTACCTGGGAACGGAAACGTAATTTTGTACAAAGTATATAATTTTGAGAGCACAGAACTACGATTACCAAAGATATTCTTAAACCTATTTATGTAAAAACTAATGGAAAAGGAATTTACCTCGAGAACAACTTCAATCCGTATAATGGTCCTTCAAGTGAGAAGGAGATCGGGAATCTTATCGTCGTTAGCTTACTTTTACCCGGAAACCTTGGATAAAAAGTAATCAAAGAATCATGCAAATTACTCTTACGAGGATTTAAGATGGCAGAACGTTAGACAATTATGAAGGATAATTTATTTATGATAAATGGAATATTAATTATTTGGAGGAGGTATTATATGTATCTTCTGCTAATCAAGTTGCACTTACTTACTAGTCACTGTTCTTTAATGTACGGGGGAATCTATTCGATGTGACGGATCGGATCCACTGCAACCTGGTAAGAATTTACTTTTAGTGTACTGCATAGAATTTATATGCCTAGAGGGTACGTGAATAAACACTAGAAACATTGTAAATATAACTTTCACGTCAGACTCTTTTAATAAGAAACAAAATACTAATTTAAACGGCGAACAGTAATTTAAAGCAAGGAACTTACTGGAATACTTATGACTGGAAAGGTTAAAGCACCCGGGCGGAACCGGCTTACTGGACTCTGTTTACAAGCACGTTGCACTGACACAACCTAACAGACTGCCCTGACGTGAGAAAGACATCGGTCCTTCGATCGTTCTCCGCTATATCTCCCTGAATTTCCCAGAGTCTATTCTGCCGTTCCAGCCTTTTCTCAGGGAACGCAGTATTGTTCATCACGATCGAAATTGCTCCTCCTTGTTTAAACTCCCTGCTTATCATTCCTCGTCACGCTTCGTCTTGTGATAGGCTGGTCTTGTGCTCCTAATTAACCCCTCCATAAGTCCGTGGTAACTCATCAAGCGTGTCAAATGATTTGATAGTTTTCTCACAGAAAGTGTCCTTTTGTTAATTAAACGTCAACGTATATTCCATTTCTGGTATACTTCTATCGTTAACAAATTTACTATCTATCCTCTATGGAAATGGTTGTTAACTATAAGCCTAAGTCATTTAACTATCTTTAAAGGAAGATTGAAATTAATATAGAATTTCGAGGTTCCTTACACCTCCCTGCTGAAATAGAGACGACCTCGTCGATTAACTTAAATGACTAGAAAATATATTCATTTAAAAATTTAACGCGTTTTAAAACATCCATACAACATTTAAAATCGCGTAATAAATTTAAAAATTTTGTTTTTTCAAAAAAAATTAATCAAATACTTAATAAATTTCTTCGGTTACCCTACTTCGAAAATGAAGCAAACATACATGTTAATAATACCTTGAAAGACACTAAGCACGACATACTGGTGGTTTATATTATTTATTAATCTCCTTTAAAAACTTATTTTATTTCGTGCTTAGTGTCTTTTTACGGATATAGAATTTTTACATTTTAATTTTTTTTTTTTTTTTTAAATTTGTATAACATTTTACATAAAATTTGTATTTACATGGTTAACAACCTTCCTTGTGTTGTTGGTCAATCACATGAGCGGGATATAAATACCTCATTTCATAATTAAATTGTATTTGATTTAAAATTTGTATTTAATAAAATTTGTATTAAAAAATATGTATAAATACTCTTGATACCTGGTCTTAAAACGCAATAGGTCATGTACCCGGAGAATCGCGTAAAAGAAAGTGCCAATAGCACGACGCGACTATGTTGTAAATGTTAAAGTTATTATAATTAATTCTATTATTATTTATTTACTGTATTCCTTTACTTACTTATTTATTTATTTTTAAAATAAAAAAAAAAGAAGAAAAAAATTTTTTTTTTTTTTTTTTTTTTTTTTTTTTTCAAAAAGTTATTACAATAATCGTAAAGCAATAAAGAATAGTATTATGCCTGGCCGGCTGGATAGATGAGGTAGAACCCTACCATTTATACTGCAATTGAACAGGACGTCTAGTTAAAAAGAGGGAAGTGAAACATGAAAGCATGTTGTACATGTTAAAGTTGTTATAATTAATATTATTATTATAATTATTTATTTATTTATTTTTTTTAATTTATATATATTTTAAAAAAATTTAAAATAATCGTAAAGTAATAAAATAAGAGGCTCATGCCTATTATCTATTCGGCTAGTAATGCCAATTCCAATGGTACTATTTATAGTACAATTTTAGAAACCACTTTGGGGAGAACACTCCCCTATTCAACATTTTCTTTGAGCGCTTGGCCCTAATTCTCCTTGGAAGAAGATAAAGAGTAGGTAGAGCTGCAATCCCATGCAATTGCGGTGGAAATCAACAGGAAGTTCGTAGAAAAAAAACAAACTCGCCGACACGGACAATGTCCTCATAATCACAGGCACAACCGCTAAAAAGCATTGGGGAGAACACTCCCCTACTTAACATTTTCTCGGGCATCTGGCCCTACCGGATCTCCCCGAATGAGGATATAAGAAATGCAGTACAACTGTAGTGTAGTTAAAGGTGAAACCTTAATGGTTATGGAAATTTTTTTTTTATTCTGTATTTTTACAGTTTCAAAAGATAATAGCTGTTAACTTTAATTATAAATTGTAACACCTAACATCGTACTAACTTATTAAATTATATTAATTAAATGGGTTTATTGATATAATATATTATTCATATTCCTGCCACTTTAAGACACTATAAAATACGGGACAGTTTACGTATTTATGGTCTATATATATCTATATATATGTATTTATAAGTATATACGACTAGAGCGGTATTCCACAGTATCAGACGGTAAGCGCTGTCGTGCTCACTGAAGACAAAGATATGGCATAGAAAGACACCAATAGAAACGGTGTCATTGACAGAAAAATGCCAGCTGGATGCAATGGAATAGAAGAACTAAAAGAAAGGAACTCAATCAGATATAATCCGAGAGTTGACGGGAATAATTGCCACGCATTATTGACGGTAGGACTTGAAGCCATCAACAGACTTCTGCAAGGTTTCCAAATAACCTTTTTTTTTAAATTTTAACGTTTTAGTAACATCATATCTATTTAATCTTCTCTATAAACCTAACGAGACCTGGTTGGGCTTGGGGCGGTCTCTGTAAATGTATCCCAATCTTTAAACTTGCCCTATCTTTAAAGAACGTAATTTTTTGTTTTTAAATGTGTTAATAATGGAACAAAGAGCGAAAGCTCAACAGAAGTTTGGGATTCCACAATCTCATCAAGGCAAGCTTCGGTTGCGAAACATACCTGTCGAGTGTCGATCAGCCTACGGCCACAACATACTAGGAGACTTGCACAACTCAGAACAAGCTCGCATCAATAAACATTAAACATCGCTACAGGAAGGTTCCTTACCAAAGCTTATGAACGAAGATTCCCTAAAGTATCCTCTAAACACATTCCTCCCAACACAATATTGCCTAATGTAAGATTCAGAACACTTTTATAAGAGTTCAATTCAATTATTAGAAAAATAAATCTTTTTATAAAGATTTTAATGCAGAAAAATGATAAAATACTGCAGTCAAAATTAAATAATATATAAAACCGGCCAGGTAATTATCAAAACATTAATCAGAACAAACATTAATATGTCTGTTCTAGCTTCTACATTATAGTGTCTTGGAGTTTTATGGTGTGATCATACAAATGCTGCTTAGTACAATAATCTGAAGCTGTTGGTGGTGCACTCGGCACCTGAATAGTAACTGGTTCATATAAAGGAATTGCGTTTGGTGGCCTGATATTTCTGGGTGGATTATAACGACAAGGTTGGCATTGTCTAACACAATTTCGAGTGTAAAGGTATTTCAAGATAATGAAAGCTACAATCCCTACCACACCCCAAAAGACCACCTTAAACCAAAGTGGTAGCTCAAAATTAAAAGTATCCAGAGCTTTCATTATAGAGGACGGTTCTAACTTGAGCTCGAGTTCATTTAAACGGCTCTGTTGATTCTCAAACAGCTTTGCTATAGCCTCCGTGCCGATATGAGGAATGGAAAGGAATGCTGAAGTGTCCAATGTAGCCATGGCTTTGGAAAGTGATACCTCGATTCTAGCATAATTTTCCCGGTTGACTGGAGAGTATATTACATGATCATTGAATGAAACGTAAGTCACATTCTCTCGCCACGGAATAAACACAGCTCCTGAAGGATCCACTTGCACGTTTTGGATTTCTGCAGAATGATAGAGATCTAATTGCTGTTTGGGCTGGCTATAAGCAACTCTTATGGTATTGGCTGTTGTTCTAACTAATATTCCTCCTTTTGTAGATGTATAAGCGTCAGTTTGTTGTTGTTGATCCCCAAAACATCTAAACATAGGGCAATTAACCTGTTCTTCAGTCGTACCATTGATGAAACCTTCAGTTGAAACTCTGAGACAATGTTCCATAGGATACAATTCTAACTGCCGATTGTAACAAATCATCACATTTCCAAACGAGGGACAGGACAAAGGTTGTTTCAATGCAAAAAGTGTATTGTTAAAGACCACAGCCTCAGTTGGCATAGAAAACATTAAACATTCCGTTTTCTTAAGATCCGGAGTTCTAGCCAGAAAACCAATTTGTGAAGCCACATAAAATGGGTAGATCGGATTTTGGTCAAAGTCTGGGTAGGTCAGAAGAAATGTAAATTGAAGATTTTCAAAATCGGCTTGTATCAAACTGGCAATGGTGGTTTGATACATCATATTGGGGTACTCTCCAAGTATACGTGAATTAATGTTCGATTCTGCTCTAATGAAGCGTTTTAACATGTCAGGATCAATGAGAAGAGGATTTAATTGACCATGAGTTTTACCAAGAAATATAAACTGAATTAGATTTTCGATTTTCGATCTCAGCTCAGTCAATGTGATTGAGAAGGTGACAAGCTTTTGGACGCATTTTACCTGTTCATTAATATCATTGACAGCAATTGTGATGTTCTGAAGATAGCCAAGTATGGAATGCTGGGTATCAATAATAACCTCACTTCGCTTTTGTTTCAAAAGGAGATCCGCTTGTAATTTCATAATCACTTCTTCGTTAGCTTTCACGTAATTGTTGATCTTGTCTATTTCAATCATATTGGCAGTGGACATTCCAATACCAGTCAAAGACATTGCAAGAGCTGAGCCTGCAAGTGCATACGCCCCTAATGCTAGAAGACGTTTGTTTCGCTTAGGGGAGTGTCCATTACAGGCATGAGCAGAACTGTTGTCCTTCTGCGATATTTTACATATGTCCTCAGTAGTAAAGATCTGCTTGGCCTGGAAAATGGCTTCGGTCATTGTTTCATATCGCTTCATATGCTCCTCAAAGTCGGCTAGTATAGGCCCTAACATATTACTACATGGCAATACAACCTCGCTATTCCACAAGAACTGGGGTGGATTAAGGGTGACTATAGCGGTCATGACATTTTGTTGCATTTGCGAAAGAACAGTACCCTTTCGGCTGAACACTATCCCTCGGCCTGGTATAGCAACATATTCAGAAGCACTATCGGCTTTAATAACCTGTTCCCGAGTCTCTCCTTTGTCCACTAGCAGAGTAGTCCACAATAGTATGATCATTTTTTCTTTGGCTGATTTAAAAGTTTGATTAGTTCGGTAAGCCTTAATATTCACGAACTCAGTTTAGTGAACTGTTAGGGGCGATGATAGTAATTGGTACAATAAAATGACGTAGGATCGGGTTATGGGTTTACAGGATTACAATCTAATGTCATATACTCTGATGTGTGCGTGATTCAAAAACATGTCTCTTTCACTCCAATTTTGGGCGGCCTTTGCAAGATTTAAATCTTTCCTTATACTTCGCAAAGTTCTGATAGCCTTTATGTAAAATCTAGTATTCCTAGTTTTAATCTTAACAGAAGTGAGCAAACTCATTTTAAAAGCTTTGATTAATCTTATCATGGCCTTAATAAGTTCTGTTTTATCCTGTCGAAAGTATTGCCTTTCAACAGTAAAAAACTTTTCTTTGATGTAGCTTTCAAAACCATTAATGAGCAATCTGTGCTCGGTTACCATTCTAAAACAATTATTTAGAAGATATTTTAAATGTGATTAGTTGCAAGCATAATTAACAAAATAAGAATTGTAAATTTCAATAGTTTCTATTCTTAGTTATAATCCTTACTTAGGAAGGCAATGATACAAAAATAGAAAATTTGTAGAAAATGACGTGAAATTA